TGGCAGGTGGCATGGTGTTTGGGCACTGGATGCCTACATGCCGGGCCTTGATTTGAATCTCAGACCTGGCAGCTCTTTCTGGTTAAATTAAAATAATAATAAATATTGTTTGTGAGAAATCACCCTCCGGGGGGAGATGGCCACACGCAATCCTTTCTTCTCTATTCTCTTCTCAGGATTTTGGGCACGCACGCACACACGCCCAGCGTGAGTCTGTTTGTTTGTTTTTTAAACTTTATTTATAGTTATTATTTAATATTTCCAAAGAGAGAGACACTCAGAGAGAGAGAGAGAGACAGAGAGAGGGAACTTGAGAAAGCAAGCCTTCAGGTCCCAGACACAAAGCATGGTTGGCCATGTGGGAGTCCAGCACCCCTAACTACCATGCCCTCCTGCCAGTCCCCCCCACCCCCCGGGTGAGTTTTAAGCCCTGGACTTGAACCTTGGGCCACTACATGGGAGTCTGGTAACGTAACCACTACACCATCTGCTGGTTCCAAATTTAAAATGCTTGAAAATAAATGTTCTTTTTTAAAAAAAGGGGGTGTTGCAAGTGGTGTGGTGGTTAAGGGCACGGAACTGCCACATGACCGATTGTGGTTCGAGTCCTGGACCTGGTGGCTTGCTTTCTCACTTTCTCTCTCTCTCTCTCTTTCACTCTGTCCTTCTCTGGTCATATTAAAATAAATAAGTAAATAAATAGGGACCAGCAGTTGGCATAATGGCTATGTCGCTGGACTCCCATGTAGCCTACCACGGTTCGAGTCCCAGACCCGGTGGCTTAAACCCACGCCAGGCGCGTGTGCATATGTGCCCAAGACCCCGAGAGGAGAATGGAGGAGAAGGGATTACGGTCCCTCACTCATTTATATTAATTCAACCAGAGAGAGAGAGAGGAAAGTGAGAAAGCAAGCCGTCAGGTCTGGGACTCCAACCATGGTCGGCCATGTGGGAGTGTCCAGCGCCACGCCACCTGCTGGTCCCCCCATTGACGGGGTTCCGTGTGAGGGTCACTGAGGCTTGAGCTCAGGGTGGAATGATGGGAAGGTGGCCTCAATGTTTTCTAAGTGACCTGCCCGAGGAAGGGAGGCAGGGCAGGGACCGGCTTCAGCAATAGATCAGTCGGTAGAGTAAATCCATGTAAATCCAGACTAGCCCGGTGGCTAAGGGGCCTGGATCCTACCTGGCCAATCATGTGATTCAAATCCCGACCCTGGCAGCTCGCAAAGCATGCTGGTCATGTGAGTTTGCGTGCCCCAAATCCGGACGCATTGGAGAAGTGGAGAAGAGATTTTACCATGACCACATTGCCCTGGGGGGTGCTTTCCTCTTCTCCCCCTCTTTCTCTGTCTCTAGTGAGCATATGCACCGTTTGGCAAATTTAAAAACTAAAAGAGGGGCCGGCAGGTGGCGTGGTGGTTGAGGGTGCTGGATTCCCATATGGCTGACCATGGTTCGAGTCCCGGACCTGGCAGCTTGCTTTCTCACTTTCCCTCTCTCTCTCTTTGTCCCTCTCTGGTCAAATTTAAATAAATAAATAAATAAATAAAGTGAAATAAACTAATTCTTTAAAAAATCACGCAATCCCTCAAACTGGGTGATTTATTTATTTAATCTTTCTGGTTGGTTGGTTCTTGCCGTACAACATGTGTGCATGCCCAGTTCTCCCTGGAGGAGAGTGAAGGGATTGCGGCATGACCATCCCCTCTGGGGGGAATTTCTCACTTTCCTTCTCTCTGTCTCTGTCTAGCAAGCACAGAGATGGCACTAAATAAAAAAATAAATAAATAAATTTAACAGTAAAAAAAAAAGTGTGCAAGTTAGTTGCTTTTTTTGAAAAATTGTTATTTGTTAGAGCATTTAATTTGACCAAAGACAGATATACAGAAGAAAAGTGAGAAAGCAAGCCACCAGGTCTAGGACTTGAACCGTGGTTGGCCATGCAGGAGTGTCCAATACCTTAACCACCACGCCACCTGCTGGCCCTTAGCTGCTCTTTTTTTCTTTTTTTTTTTTTTTTTTGTGCCTCAGTAGACTGGTGTGGACACTCTGTTCTACGTATATAACTTAAAATCGTCTTGAAGAACTTTGAAAATAATACCCAAATGGCAAACT